TTAAAATTATTTTCCATAAGCCTGTCAACTTTTAAAAACCTAAATAGTAACTTGTGTACACATTTAATTTACTATTTAAGTTGAGAATTATTTTCTGAATAGTATACCGGTCGATAACCAGTTATGGCTAATTACTTTGGGAGTTATTAAACATTAAAAATTAGGACGAGAGCAAGGGTGGAGTGAAATATTATTTTTTCTGCTGGAACACTAAGCTTCTGTAAAAATACTGAGCTGTGAAAAAAAAAATAGAAAAGGTAAATGTTTTTGTAATAGTTTTATAGTATTGTGAAATAACACCAACTTAAGTGTCTCAATTATTATAAAGCTACAAAAATGCTATTATTTTAAGAGAAAACTAGTATCCTGCCCTTAACGAATCAATCAATTTTCTAGTATATTTTGATTTATCGAAAATAGTAGAATAACATGTTTTTTGCGATATACTCGAAGGTACACGTGTATTAATACTGGGTGTTTGCTTTACAACGATTTATCATTTTGTTTTCTTTATAGATGTGCAAATTGTAGTCATAAGAAGCGAATTTAGCAAAATAACGACCGGAAAGGCATAAAACTTTTCCTGAAGGTCTAAAAAGTTCTTTTGGTTCCTGGCGTGCAAATTGTAACATTTATTACCTACATTTGCTTTTTTTAAGTAATGCTATATCAGATCAATAATTGTCTTTATTATAATTTAATTGGTAGATGAAAAAAAAAAGGGTTAAGGGAACAAATGCCCTCGTGTCCGGCCAGACACGAATTGACGTTTAACCCAACCAACATTTCTGTAGTAAATTTCTTGGTTTTTTCAATTAAAAAAAATACAAAACTGCTACAGTTTTTTATACTTAATCACCACTGTCTCGTTTTGAGGGGGTGGGGGGCAATTTTCTAGAGGCACCATCAGATTTGTACATAGCCCATCTTCTGTTGGTGTATCAATTATAGAGATGTGTCTAACACTTAAAAATTAAGGATTTCAAGACCCTTCCAACCCTTATGCAAATATTGCTCTGAGAATGTATCTATGTTGTCCCGTATCAAACTTCTCTTCAGAGCGACAATTTAGTGCATTAAATAAACAGTATCGCTGTATTAAATATTGAATAGCACATCACAAAAAGTTTAGAGTATGATGACATATTAATCGATGAGTATAGTTCCTCTAAAGCTTACGAAAAAATAACGCACATTGTAAATATTTATTGCTTTGTAATTTGTGGATAATAAATAAACCCACTTTATATTTGTAACTAATTTATAAAGATAACATAATGTTTAAACTGTGCTTTGTTTTTTTTTACTTTTGTTCAACTCCTTGTGGAAGCAAGTCCTTTAATGTGTAATTGTCATTTAAATGTATTGTAGTATGTTGAGTATGTAAACAGTGAATGTACAACTAACAAACCGAGAGCATTTAATTCTTTAGTCACTGTTACATTAAAGATTCCAATATAGAAGAGAAGTTTTATCTAATGACTAAAAATTGTTTAATTGAATGGTTTTAAGTCAATGTCAACTGGTTCCACCAGAGATTACAAAAAGTGAATACATTTAGAACAAAAATGTAATAAAAGTAACCCTCATCATATGCACCCTTGAACTAAACATTCATTTTCAAGCACATAATTGTTTTTAGGTACAATGCCATTATCGATATTTGTATTTTTATCTGTGATCACTGGATTGCCGTATGAGGCCCAAATTTGGGTTTCGAAACCATATTATGTAAGGTTTTATTTTATGCTCTACATTTTTTGTTGTACGATATAAACGCGTTAACATTACACGGTTGGTAATATTTTTTTTTTGCGTTCAATTTACCTTAAATTCGTATCGGTATGGAAAAACATATGAAAAGGCCTAGGAGTTTTATTATGTTAAACATGCTCGATATAGACACAAATGTGTCGTATACCTTTAGGCAGAATTTACAGAAATGAGAAAATTGTAAATACATTTGTGATATACTATTATTTCTATAATAATAAAAAAAATTATAAACTATTATGAATACATGTATTTTTTTTTTTTTTGTATTCTATTCTATTCTATTATTATCCATATTCCTACAATTGGTCTGAGAACACCTAAAAATGTCTACATCCGGTCATGAATAATGTTACTATATTATTTTTATATTCATAATTTAAAACCTTTATCATTACTTTTCTAAATAATTGTATATTCACTTTCTTAAACGGGAAAACGTATTGAAAACACTTTTGAAGCTGTACTATTTATTTAAAGTAAGAAGACTACTTGTTTTGACTTGTTGTGTTTTGTATGCTTGTTCAAACAGTCACAGTCATACACCCATGTCCTAAATAAGAAAATATTCGAAAACCAAAACAACATCTTTAATCATCGACCTAGTTGTATTATTTGAAGTCTCCAACGTTAAAACGGTTTTGATTATTATTATATTTTGGGTCCATGTATTTTTTACTTGAGTAGTTAAAATTGTAGGGCAATTGTCAGTGTTCCGAATTTAGTTTTATAAATGTATAGAAAAAAATGATATTTTAATACTTACAGAATACATTCCATCTCTTATGGAATATTTATAAATTAATATAAATGTTTGGATAATAATGTGGATTATACAAATATTGTGATATAACATGTATGCTAAATTAGGCATTTTATACAAATTAGGAAATATCAATTGCTCAACGACTACCTTGAAGGTATTGAATGCATGAATGCAAATAAAATAGGATTTAAACACAATATTAAATGAAATACCATTAGTCGATTTCTACATTATCCTAGAAAAGTGGCCGATTAATTCAAATTTTTTTTCAGAATTTAAATCTAACCATCCTGAGTTAGTGTAATTATGTCAGGCTTTTAGGCCTAAAATGTCCAAAAAACAGGTCAAAACCTATTCACTGGAATCAAGCTTATAATTTTTACAACAGTTTTTGGCTACCATAAATACTGACTTATGAGCATTTTCTTCAATATCTAATAAGTGAGCGTGCTGTTCCCAATACACGATCTACATCAGTTCACCAAAAAAGACAGTAATATTTCTATTACTATCTCTTGATACCTCGTTTCTTTTTAACCTTTGTTAAATAAATGAAATATTTAATCATAAAGTAGTAGTATTTTTTAACTGAAATTTTAAATTTAATAATTATAGTAACAGTTAAACAAAATATAGTTTGTAAAACTAAAATTGACAAAGGTACAGGGCTAGTAGTCCTTCTATTAAAAAATTTACAAAAGAATTGAAAGGGGTTGATTAAAGTTTTTATGTAATATAGTCTACCGATGACAATGTTGTAACCTAAAAAAACATTATTCTTATAGTTGGTTACTTGACTTGGTAATCTATTAATTTTTGCCCGTACTAATTTTTTATTGTAGTTTAAATTTGTAGTAAAAACAGTTCAATTAGTTCCAAACATAAATGGAAAATTATATAAATAGATTACTATCAATAACGGTATGTCAAACCAAAATATCATATTATGATTTTTGGTTAGGGTTAGGCTGGGAAAATTTTTTTTTCAATATTTTTTCTTGGATACAGTTTTAAGACTTGACGCCTGACTCAAGGTAGATCTATAGCATGTACAATTTTCTCAAAAATCTGTAGCGACACTATAATATGTTGTTATCAAAGAAATAAGTAATTTATGACTTTCTGTTATAATAAGTCTTAATAATAATGTTATAACCAAATATATAGAACTAAAAAACTATTAATTCACATTAGTATTATAATATTACAACCGTTTAACGTGTCAAACAAACTTTTAAGTCGGTATTTCATTTTGACACTCCTCCCCTTCCCTCCTTTCATGCTTCCCAGTGTTGGTCCTAGTAATAACTATTACCATTACATAGCTAAGGTAGTAGAATCGCATTGTTAAAGCGATTTTTTTGAGTCGTCAGAAAACTATTGAAATATTGTGAATGTTCTTTTTAGCGCTACCAATAGAAAAACAACACATTCGTGCAAACAAACATCAGTCACATGCAAATCGCTGATAGACATACCAAATCAATTGTGTCTTATAAAAAGATACCCAGAGCACCCAGAATGTTTCATTATTCAGTCGAATTCCACTTCAACTAGTAACTGAATAAAGTATAACACTGGTAAAATGTTCAATATTAAAATATTTCTTTTGCTCGGCCTAGCAGCGTATGCAAAGTAAGTATTTTCTTGTTCAAAATATTTTTACAAAAACTAGACAAATTTTACTTTTAATGGCTTATAAATAACTTCTACTTAAAATATTTTTTTTTAGAGTAATCCAACCGTCTACACTGTGGTCCGAAAGTGAATTCTAGTCGCTTAAAAGTCCTATTCTTAAATAAGCAAAAAATATCAAATTTATAACAATTATAAATTATTAATTTTTATATGTTTTTTAGACATAATAATATAAAATATCAAGGTTAAATGTGTACTTGGACGTTTTTTATTGCTTTTTAAAGTTCAGTTATTGTAGTATGGTTATTGTATTCAAGTTAAGTTAACACGTTCACCGTCCGATGACCCCTATGTGTTTCATGATTTATTTATAGATAAGTCCCTAATTTGTTAATTAATTAACTAATTAAGTCCCTATCATCTCACCTGTCCAACTGTGTTATTATGAATTTCATATAATAAAGTCAAATAAATCTCTAGAGAAATAATTGTTTGCAATGAACCACATGTGGATCATGGACTACTAAAATAGGTTTAACGTGACCCATACATGGATCATAGGACTGATAACTTTTGATTTAATTTAAAATTAGGACAGTGAACGTGTTAAAAGATAAAATTAAGCAAATTTTTAAAAATATTAGAGATTTAAAAAGTTGTGAACGAAATATTATTTTCTAAAATTAAAATAAAACTTAAAAATCGTATTTTTTAATTTGCCTTATGTACTAATCAATTTTTGTCTTTTAAAAAAAAAATTAATATTTTTGAAAACCTGAATACTTACTATACAACATTTAAGTATTGATATGTATGAGTAAAAATGGGTAAATTATAGTACTACTCTCTAAAATAAAAATAAAATATTTAAAATATCTTAAATTTTCCATTAAAAAGTTTAAACGAAATATTATTTTTTCGAAATAAAAATAACTGTTAAACTACAATAACTGAACTTCAAATAGCTACAAAAACGCCTAAGTGTACATATGACCTTGAAATTGTACATTATTTCTTTTAAGCGGTTAGAATTCACTTTCAGACCATTGCGGCGTCTTCTTCATGTTAGTGAATGTTTATAGTGTTTACAAAAATATGTACGCACTTGCTTTGATGTCATTGTGACGGTTCTTTTAATCCGTCCCAAACATAATAAGAAAAAAGCTTAAAGCTTTTGACACACTTTGCTAGCATTGCACCGTAGGCATGTGTAACAAGTGTGAAGCTTCATTTATTATTAGCTATTGATTCTATATTTTTATTTGGGAATATTGTACGACCACGGAGAAGATAATTCGTTAAATTGTTTTTTTTTTTTGTAGATAATTATCCATACGGACCACCATCTCCACCATCTCCACCATCTCCACCATCTTCACAAACTCCACCATCTCCAACATCTCCAACATTTCCACCATCTCCACCATCTCCACTATCTCTAACATTTCCACCATCTCCGCCACCTCCACCGTCTCCACCATCTCCACCTCCACCACCATTTTTCGACAACAGCTGGAATACACTTTCGGGTAATTGATACAACTGTAATTTGGACGAAACTCGATAGCATTTTTTTGTATTTATAAAATTATATTAAACTATTACAAAAGTACAGCTCAAGAATTAAAAATTATTTTTCAGAGAACTTTCAACAGCCACCAAAACCAACTTACGACAGTGACGAGAATAACTTTTCGGGTAATTGATACAACCGTCGTTAGTAGATTAAGATTTGTTCGAAACGAAAATTAACCCTGCGTTACTATTCTATACAAGTGTTACACCGCTGCTACTCTGGGTCTCCTGGACCCAATTTCTCAAATTTACCTCAAATTTGACAATTTCTCAACTCAAATTCCCAAATATACTTCTAGAACGTTTATTTAACATAGCATAAGCAAATTCCCACTTTATTTATAATATATATATATGTATGATAAAGGTTAAAAAATGTAAATAAATAATAATCTATATCCTACACAACGAAGGTACTGAGAACGATAACATTTTACAGTCAAGCCAACATAAGAAAATCCAAAATGGTATTTACAATTCGGTGTGTTAGACCCGGTGTAGCAACGCAGGGTTAAATTAGACACGATTCGATACTATTTATTGGTATTAAAAAATGATATTAGACCAGTATTTAAAAGTCTATTTGAAGAGATAAATAATTTTTCAGAGGCCTTTCAACAGTCAGCAGCTATGACGAGCAGTGAATATTGTGGTAAGATTTTTTTTTACCATATGTAGTAGACAATGTTGGGCATTATTTAGTTTAAGTTATTCAAGTATTGCCCACGATTAACTTGTTCAATCCTGATTAACATTTTTAATCATTGCCAACAACCACCACCAGCAGGGTCACAGCAACCACCATCAGCGTCACAACAACCGCCAGCAGTGCCAAGGGGGCTCAAAATAATCAAAACCGCAAACACTAGTGGTACTTCAAATGTAGTCTTTACAAAAGATGACCGCATGATAGTCAATGGCGTAGAAGCTTCGGACGATGAGTAAGTTCAAAGAAATCTCATCGATGTTAATTTTTTTTTAAATTCAATTTTCTAATCATTATTATAAAAAAAAAACTGTTTAATATTATATTATGTAATTCTTGAAAAGCTAAATTTTAAATTTTAAAAAATTCTTTACCATAAATCATAAAAAAATGTGTTATTTTTTCTGCCGTTTTGGTTATTGTGTCAATTATTTTTTAATCTAACATGATAATAAATGAACTAGACTTCAATTATACAAGGCGGTCCAACTAACGTAAGACACTTATTTTCTCTGAAAATATGAATATTTAACAAAAAAAATTTCCTTAACTTTTAGGTACATGTTTTACTACATTTTTCAATATTTTGAACATTTTTATCACCAACCCTAGTAAGCCGAAAAGGGGGATTTTTGGTTTTTTTAAACGGCAACATATTTTTTTTTAATTACATTAATTTGTAGACAAAAAATTTAAATATATGTTAGCGTTAAAATTTTATATTTTCATTTATGAGTTTACTAGCTATGACTTTGCAAAGGTACAACATTTCCTCTTAATAATTATCATATTTCTTCGGTTTTCCAAAACCGGTAGCACAAAAATTCATACTTATGTTAGCATTGTCCAATTGGATCTTATTCCTTATACATTTGATATGTATATATGATAACCGATACTAAATCTCATCGATGTTAATTTTTTTTTAAATTCAATTTTCTAATCATTATTATAAAAAAAAAACTGTTTAATATCATATTATGTAATTCTTGAAAAGCTAAATTTAAAATTTTAAAAAATTCATTACCATAAATCATAAAAAAATGTGTTATTTTTTCTGCCGTTTTGGTTATTGTGTCAATTATTTGCTAATCTTTGATGTTCAACGGCAAATACAAGATAATAAATGAACCAGACAACTTTAGAACCACCTGTTAGAGCTGTAGAGCTCAAGTGAATCGGTAAAGAGGAAAAATGAGTTGTCGTAAAGACACAAAAAAAAACACACACACATCATTTTTAAGAATCAATACCTTCTCATCGAAGCTAAACATAAAAATTATAATTAATAGAAAGCCACCGAGCATTTTAAAGTACTAAAACAAAGAATAACAACCATTCAAGTGATTACAGTACGGTTTAATACAGTTCAACTCAACTCTCTATAGTAATACTGCTGTTATCATTATTATTTTTTACCGGATATGGTGGATAGAAAAACGATATCATTTGCAGATGCGTTTCTTCTGTAAATCAAAACAAATCATCGTTCAATGTATTAGAAAATAATATAATAATGTAGTTCTACTTATAGGCAAAGGTAGTTCTTTTTTTAATTCTATTATACTACCAGAATAATCGACGTGGCTTTTTCCTCGTCCGCCAATTTCACAAGGCATGTATTCCACCGGAACATGGTCAAAAACATTTTGCATTTCTTCTGTTTTATACATATAAATCTATGGGAAATGTGTTACCATTTTAAGTAATGCGAAAATAAAAAAAAACAAATCTTAATAAAACAACAGCGAATAATATATTCTTACTTTGTCTTTAACTTGCTGTGACGTATACTCACTAAATGATAGTGCATTAAACAGTCTCATTTTTATCCCAGCGTTAACAAAATGTATTGCTTTTAACCGTATCGGTAGTCCAGTCTTTGAAAATATATTTTTAATATTTTATTAATGTAATAATTTTTCATAATGTGAGGTAGAAGGGCGCAAGTCCATTCAAGTAATATTTTCAAAAAGGGACAAATATACTGGTTTCTTTTTTTCCAAAGCCGCAATAAAAGTAGTGGAAATCCATATTTAGGTAACGGTTAAAAATATGTTGCCAATGAGGGTTGATGCAATAGAGATAGTAATTAATTGATAGAAACGCAATGGCCCTCTTTTAATGAAAATAACAATTAGCCAATGCAAAAGAGGTGCTACAACTTAAATTTCTAATCTAATAAAGCCCTGACCATGACACATTTGGTTTGGACTAACTATGATAGGGTTTTTAATTTACCCACTTTTATACGGCTTGGCGCGACAGGGTCTTAATGGATAATGTACCAATTGTTCTCAGATAATACATACTTGTAAGTATTTTACTAAAGTTTTGACAAATGATGTTTTTGTCATTGCTTGGTAACAGTGTATGAAATTTAATCCATCAGCGTTGACGGTCACAACCAGACCGTCAAATGTCCCGTTTGTCGATATTAAAAAACGGGTCAGCATTAAAAAATATTGTGAGATCATCTCGAAAGCAAAATACACCGATTCAGTTTGCTTTAGTTGCAAGTAGACGTGGCGATCATCTTTGCCTTCATATGGAACTGGTACTATAGAAATACTCCTAAAATAAGTATTATGGTTTTGTAAAATTGTACAGAAATTTCCAAACTCATTACTAAAGATTTGATAGATTTAAATATTGGATGACATCAGAGTTGGGTATTATTTAGTTGATATTTTATTCAAATCATTTTTGGAATAAACGTTTAGATGAATAATTACTTAAAAATAAACACCTCACCAAAAGCACCGGGAATTAGGATTTAAGTTTAGTAGTGAGGAAGTTATCGGATATAGAATACCGTTATCCTACATTTTACTGGCGATTTTAGATTCATAAGGATTTTACTCACACATGTTTATGAACGGATTCCATTTCTTTTATATTAAGAATTTTGCTTTCTGGGAAATAGGCTAATATCTTAGCCGAGTACTTTTGGTTATTGACTATTATCTTGTAAGCTTCATCCACATTAAATAAACCACTGTGCAAAAACATGATGAGCATTTTTTTGTCTGTCAACATAGACATTCGGAATACATTTGTAAGTATATTCAACTACCAATATGTTTTAAGTATTTTTACTAGTTATAGTTAAGAATATAATTATTTGTTTGTAGAAATACAATTGAATTGGCTTACTAATTTTAGAAGACAACTTGTCAACATCTTTATTGGCTTTTACACGTTCATCCAACTTGTTGACGTCGTCCATCAGCAGCAGTGGATATTTCTCATGTTCTCCGGAGAAAAATTCTTCCATGGTAGTTTTTCTTTCGTACAAAGTAACGACACCTGAAACTACTATTCTGATATATATAAAAAAAAAACAAGTAGTCTAAACAAAACGCAATGACATATCTCCAAATTTGTACTACACGAACAATCAAGACTATCAATTATATTAAATCAAATGTCTTGAATAATATTGTAATTTTTTTGCATTAAAAAGTGTCAAGGATTTAAAAAAACAAAACGCTAACCACTAAGCACAAAGTTTTTAATTGATTAAATCATTGAAATCACCTGGATTACACACTACATGGACTATAGATCATAGTTTCCAATATAATTCTAATTATTATTTCTTTTCAAAACACAAAATGTTATATATAAAATTTAATTCATTTTTACCAACTAAAATATATTTGTATTCAACAAAATTTATGAAATGATACAATGGCACGACTTACAATTTAGAAAGAAAAATTACCCTTACAAATAATGCTTTCAAAAGCTACAAAATCAAAGACAATAACCGCCCAAAGTATAATGCGTTATAATTATTAAACAAATAAAATTTACTTATCTACTAAATTAAAGTTATTCGAGGGTGAAATGTTCGAATAATTCTGGTAGATGTTTTCTTCTACTCCTAAAAATTGTCTGCATCTTCTCTGATTATCTTGTATTCTAGAATAAATTAAGTAGATTTTATTAAGTAGTTATAACAACAAAAAATATCTTCTGCTGTAACAATAATAACACTGTTCAACATGAAAATTCGCTGAGTTTAAATATGGAACTTAAAATTGATAGTTAGCTGTTATTTTCCATTCGTGCCATATTTAATATGATAGCAGGTAGCTTGATAGATGTGTCATATTTATGATGAGAGTTCAAAGTTTTCAGGGAATCCCAGTAGGGGGACTAATGAAGAACTTTGTCAAGGCTCTCAACAATGATGAACCAGCGCATTCCAATATGTTATGCGGGCCTAGGGCTCCAAGGTGACCAAAGTAAATAAGTTGAAACAACACTCGTTTCCGTATGAATTAGAATTGATTTAATAGAATTAACGCAACAAAAATAATGTTAGTTACACGATGGACATAGAATAACATTAAACAACAATATTAAATAGTATGGTTTAACTTAAGATGTAGGACTAAGACGTAGAACAACACAAGTGAAATTCTTACCCTACCCCCTATCTCTTAGTTTATCTCATATCTCTTACCCATACCCAGAGACGTAATTAGGAATTTTGGCCCCAGGTAAGAAAAATAAACACCCCCTTCCAAACCTATATTTCTTCATCAATAGGTGTATTTGTAAAAAAAAACAAATGATAGTGAAACCAATGTATTTATCGCTACACTCATAATCTGAAACGTATATTAGGTATACATAAAAAAAAACGTTTTAAAAAACATACTTTTCTAAAAAAAAAAAAGTAAAAAGTGAACTAAAAAGTAAAAATAATTTTATTACAAGAACAATTTACCAATCAATTGTAGCATATTTTATTTAAAATGACAATTACTTTGAAAACAATCGAAAATTAATTTTTGACTAAAAAGAAAAGCGTGGGCCTTATTCAACAAAGTCTAAATTTATTGATTTAAGTATTAAGAAATGTATGTGTCACACACTAGTATTAAACCAAATTTAAATTACAAAAAAGCCAGTACACTGGGGTCGGGGCATAGTGGGGACGGAGAGATCACAAGTCTACAGATTTTATTAAAACTGAAAGTGATAAAATCACTTTTAAATAAACGCTTCGATGCGAATCTGTGGATAGTATGTTCAAACTAGTTATAGTTATGTGATATTTCAATCCGCGAAAGTTTCAACACATTCATAGTTTTAGTGGTCTAGAAGATATCGTGAGACCAGCAATAATATACTTAAATTCATACAAATTTGGAACATTTTCGACTATTTTTAAAAAAGTTATAGAGCATTGTAATTTTAAGCTGAAAAATTTGTAAATTTTTTAGGAGTTTTTTTCGATTTTGATGAGGAAGGGGTGACTTTTTTTAATTTTTGGCCTGCTAAAGTACCTTCCAGGTATGAGTTTTGATCTATAGAGTTGCTACACGAAGAAATCGGCTCAGCGGTTTACGAGATATCGTGGGTCCAGACACAAAAAAAATAAATAAAAACACATCATTGTAAAAACAATACCTTCTCAGCTCCGCATCGAAGCTAAAAAAACTTACAATATAAGACATTATCTGATAAATTTAATAGGGACTTTGTTGAATAGGGCCCACGCTTTTTTTTTTAGCCAAAAATTAATTTTCAGTTGTTTTCAAAGTGATTGACATTTTAAATAAAATATGCTACAACTGATTGGAAAATTGTTCTTGTAATAAAATTATTTTTACTTTTTAGTTCACTTTTTACTATTTTTTTTTTTTTCGAATACTGGCAGTTGGCACGACCGTTAAAACATGTCTACGAAATATTTTTGGGCGGCCATATTCTGTGTATCTTAATTCTCCAACTACAATATACTTTTCCATGTCCTGGTATTTTCAATACATGTTTCGTGACAAATGAAAACCACAGTAATAAATTTATTAGTATCATTACTTTTCTTTTTATCACCCAAACGACCTACCGTATTATATCAAAATGCTCTCCAAAATTTACCGCCCGGGGCCCAAGCCCCCCCTGCCCCCCTAAATACGTCTCTGCCCCCACCCACAACCCCATATAGCGTTTATTTAAAAGGCATACAAAAAGTTAGATATTGTAGACCAGTGTAATTTATCATGAACAGCTAACAAAATACATATTATTTACTCACCACTGTTGGTTACACCACTGTTGTTTATAGGTCTTGGGACGGACGGGTCACGTAAGAACATTTCGTCGTGATAAAACGTGTCGGTGACCATTTCAAAAGCTGCTCTGTGTTTTCCCAAAAACCCAACGTACAGTTCGATTTCGTCGATATCTCTTTTGGCGGTTCTCACGAGTCGCAGCACCCCGTCCTCGGTGTCCATAGGCAACGTCTGTGCTTTGATTTCGTACCGGAACCTATTCACTTCCATAGGCCTGTGGCACATTCTCAAAAGTCTAGGGATATCCATGTCGGACTGGAGATGCAAATTTTGCCCCAGACCGCCGACAAACTTGGCAAAGCAACGATGCATGTAGACCAGGTACTCTTGCGTTAATCCGGGGAACAATCTCAAACCGACGAATGTGCCGAAATGGCCTAGCAGAGTGGTGCCGTGTGTTTTCAATGTATTTTCGTGCGCAGCCACTCTAGAAGCCACGCCGCCGAATTTGTCTTCCCCCGCATAAAACAGCCTGTCGATAACCGTGAGGAATGTGCTCACACACATGAATACAGGGTGTATGGCAGCTGCCGTGACCCGGTGTTGGAAAGACAAAACGAAATGTTTGCTAAAGTTGGTCGTCCCGCCGATGAATAGGTCGTTTATCGATTTGTTATTGTCGTTGCCGCCTTCTGCCATTGTAACCGTGACGGATTGGATTAAATGCGACTTGTCAACAGCATTGGAAGTAGACACCCTTTCGGGCGACATGAACACTCTGAATAGCATGTTGTTCGGATGGAACTTCAGATGTCCTCCGTGCTTGAAGATCGCCGCAAAGATGGTATCGAATTTCCGCTTGTTTTCATTCAATTGTTGTAAGATATTAGGTTTTAAATTCGTCAGTACCTGACCCTTCGGCAGCAACAGTCGGTTCAATTGTCTTAATCTCGGGCTGTCTAGAGGGCCTTCTTGATCTTGAACATACCACTCTAAGTTTCTGTCGTTAGCAGGACGGTAATTCATACATCTGCTAAGATTGTTTTTGATTTCGAGCCAAGTTTGATTTTGGGCCATTTTGTATCCTATTTCGTAGGGCACTCTCTTCGTGGGCTCCTTGTCCGGGAAAAGAGTTTTGGCCAACACCCGTGTGTAGCCAGACACGTGGTTTAGATATAAATTGATTTTCATTAAATCAGGCGGTATCCTGTAGTCCGGCCTTGTAAGTCTGAGATCTTCGAGCATGGCCATGAAGATATAGCCTTGAGATTCGAGAATTTCCTCGTAGTCAATGATCACCTGCTTGGGTGCGTCCAAAGGAAAAGAGCCAATTTGAAATGAACCAATGGTAAGGTCGTAAACCATGTTGGTCAAAAATAAATAATAGTGGGCGTACCTCGAGTAGTAACAGCTTATTCTTTCCATATCGAGAAGTGATTCGGATTGGACAAACGAAAACCTCAGAGATAATAAAATCAAAACTACGTTGCTTAACGTTTTCAACGAATATGCTTTGTCAAACAACATTATGCAAAGTAGACGAACAAAGAAATACACAAACGGTTAACTCGAGTTTGTTACAGTTCACTTGAGTTTCTAGAGCTTCGGCATAACCCTACACTACTACACTTAACGTCGACAATTACAATAAATTAATAATTATACAGGTACACCTTGAAATATGTTCGCAGCAAATAGTACATTTATAAAAATGTGTTTTTTTTTTAAATTCGGCACTAAAGAGACGTTGGAAGAAACATGATGGTTTTTAAAACTGTGTAAACATACAGGATTTTTTATTGTAGGCTTTTTTGTACAAAACACTATCGAATTATGACCGATATTTCACTAGACTACAATAATATTATAACGGTAGGAAAGCAAAATCATTTACTTTCTGCAAATAATTATTAAAACGTTCAATTTTTTGAATCGTTATTAATTGGTCTCGATTTTTATCATCAGCAACAGATTTGCATCGAACGATTTAACAATTATTGGAGTAGTTTTGTTTGAAGATTTAAAATCTTATAAATGGAACATTAATAAGAGTATAAAACTAATACAAAACACTCATTTTTTTCTGTTACTCGTTTTATAAAATTATTATTTACAACTGTATAAAACTATAATATACAAATACATCTCAGACGGCAGACCTCTTGTACATATAATATTATACCAAAATAACAAAAAAAAAAAAAATAGTCAACTGTCAACATCAGTCGAGTTGCTAATAAAACCTATTGATTATACAGGATGATCATTTTATCGTGAACCACTCAATATCTCATTGGGTTTAATTAATTATTTTATTTTTATTTTCATAATGTGATCTCAATTGTCAATAAACTTATATGTTCCTACCCCACTACCAAACTGATTATTCTTATACCTACTCTTGAAACTTAAACGGTAAACGCATACATTTAATTAACTTTTGACAATAATGTACTGAACATTTTTACTGGATCTTTAACCAGTTTTAGATAACTGTTTTTGTAGTTACTGAAGTTTCAAGTTTATCGGACAAGAGGAAAGGTGGAGTGTAGTATTATTTTTATAGACTGGGGTACTTCAACCTGAATGTATAGTGCTGTTATAAAATATGTATTAAATACAAATTTAACAAATATATTATGATTAAGGGAGTTGGACATACTCACTGGCGAAGGGTAAATGTACTAGTTTTGTACTAGTTTTTAAGAAGGAGTAGGTGATCTTGAACATAGGTAGAAGCTAAATTATGATCTACACTGCTTGCCATTATAGCTTAATCGTCGACCAAGACCACGACAAACCTATTAGAGTTATATAATATAAACTTCCGTTTCACAATATTTCCCTCAACTAACTATTGGAACTTTATAGTTCTAAACCGGTATCGAATATAACAATACAAACCTGTACATAATGTTCTGTCCTGCTTGCTTATTATTGAGACTTATTATAATTTACATATCGAACAAAGTTATAACTGATGTAAACTGATAATGAAAAATTCAAGGTTGGTTTCAAAATCACTCACCTGCCAATGATTATTGCAAAACTAGCCATAGTCAACAATTATAAATCTATTAATTAACTCTTGCAATGATATATTTATCAAATAAATCTTCATACACAACGAGTATGTACACTCCATGTCTTAACCTTATAATGGTTTTTTTTTTGTTTTTGAGAAACTTCAAAAATTACTTATGGCTGGTTTTGACTTGGTTTTACACTGTATACGAAGTGGCATGATTAAGCCAGGGTATTAATTAAAATAACTTTTAATCACATTACCTTGGAGTATTGAAACATAAACACATAACATTGCCAAACGAATTTTAAATTGACCTTCCATGATTTTCTTCGGGTAATCTACTAAACAGTGTCTGTAGAACCGAAAATTTAACAGTTGAAATAAATGAAAACAACAATTTTCCTGTGGCGTTTAAAGTATATACATTATAATGAGTACATTTAAATAATTGTTTACAGTTTATACAGTTTACATTATAAAGCCTACAGTTACAGTACCTACCATTCTCGTTGCAGGAAACTTGTATTAAATCATGCTTGTTTGATTAGGTGTACATCTTGATATAATAGGTTGGAAAAAATAGCCTAAACGAACGTTGTATGTATATTTTTTATCTGTGATCATATTTCTGTATATAATTAGTAATAGTACTTACATTTTAGACTTAGGTACTTACCACGTTCTTAAGCTTAACATAATTATAATTTTTCATAAACTAAAAATGTTTATAATAATATAAGTAAAATGTTTAATTTAAATAGAAGCTTAAGAGAGGAAGTTAGTCCTTCAAATTAAATTCTGGCCCATCATCTGGCTACTGATTACTACTATAGTACAATTATATACTTATAAACATAGATTGGCCGAAAACAGTGATATTAAAAATGCTAAATTTAATCGACTTTGAAGGTTACCATTATAATATGTATTTACCACGAAGGCTACGAGATCGCACGCCCCAACAATATAATTATTATGGTTGCACCTGTAAAGTTATTTTAATTTGAAATGTGTGAAAAAACATAATATTTTCTAAAACAAAATTAATATAAATAACTGTGGCGTAGGAACACATAAAAAAAACATAAGTATAAACGGTAACAAACACATGTATTGATATATTTACACAAGAGTTAATTAGCTTAAACATATTTTTCCAAATCACATCAGTATGTTGAAGTAGTAAGCCTGTAGCTGAGTACAGAAATACGAATACGACTCCTAAAATTTTCAAAACAATAATTTTGTTCTTATAACCAATTACTTTTATTATGCGTGTATCCAGTTATCGTCGTCGGTGTCTTCAGTTATTTTTCGTCGTATACCAATCGCGGTATGAACACATATGATTGTATGTATCTTCTGCACAACGCAAAAATTTGTGAATTAATAAAAAAAAAAAAAATGGAAAAATTGTCAACAGGAAGATAATATTATGACTTGTATTACCAGAATAAGTCATGTGACTTTTTCCTCTGCCACCCATTTCCTCGGGCATAAACTCCACTGGGACGTGATTGAAAAATTCATCAGATCCTTCAGAGTATAACGTAACCTGTTGCAAAACAAATATTATAGTGATTAAAAAAAGATCTAGATCCATGCTGGTTTCGTGCAATTTCCAACTCTGGGTCTAACGCTGACATCCTTGAGTAATCAACTTCACTTGGCCATTTATTGCACAGTGACGTGGATGGTTATGGTCTAATTTCAACTGTTTACTCATATATTATAACCTTATGTTCATTATACTTAATTTTGTTTTTGTTTTTTTGCTGATTTAATAAAGCCACACGCAAGCAGTATGGTCTATTTCTATACCTTCGTTATGTTAAACACCAAAAGACTTGTAAATAATACAGTAATCCTTTTTTTTTTTCGGATCTAAAGCTTTTTTTTTTTTTTAAATATATCAAACGTAAACCTCACCCTGTCTAGGAAATTGCCCCACATGAAAGGTTTCATTAAATTAAACAACATGGTCGAGATGGATCCAGCATTGATAACGTGCACTTCTTTTAATCTCACTGGCAGAGCTTCCTTTAAAATCAAAGATTAATAATATCAATTAAAATATACAGGGCGATACGTTTAAGAATAATACATTCATTATCTCTTAGAATGATTGCAATTTTGTAGTGTTTTTTTTTTTTTGGAAATACTTTAATTTATGTTATTTTACAACATTAGACAATATTTAAATTTTTATCCTTTCTGGTTTTTTTTTCTACAGCTCTAACAACTTTTGGAACTTGAGCGGGATTGAGTAACTTGTGCAAATAAAAACAATACTACATTTAACTCTTCCTCTCGTACTAATTTTTAAACTTAAAAGATCAGGTAAATCAGGTATATTTACTATTTAAAAATATTTAAAATAAAAAACCATAAGCTAAAGTGTCTCTAAAAAGAACAACTACAAAATTGTCATGATTTTAACAAAATAATGAGTATCTTATCCTCAATGAATCGCACTGTACAGATTTGTATATTTTAAAGACATAAAATAACCCTGTCGAGTGGTTGGTCGTACGTACTTGTACAAAGCCCATTAAATTTTTGGCCAATTTCATTGGGATTTTTGTTAAATGCCTCCAGTTAAGGCCTTTGCCATTCATGGTGAGTATCACACCGTCGAACGTTCCGTGTTGTATAATTAACACTTCCATCATCATAAAGAAGTATTTAACACTGTTCACGTAGTTAAAAACGTTGGGATCTTCGTTTTTGAATTGCGTGTACACATATCTTTCGTGCTTACCTTTGTACGGAACAGTCACTATAGACAAACTCCTGAAAATCCCATTTATAATCAATTAATTCAACTGTCAAATTCTGTCACCACAGCCAAAATATAGCTACAACAAGCCTATTGACAGAATTCAAAAAAAAAAACCCCATAATACACTTGCCAATCGAAAAATTAACTTCGAAAAGTTATTTCTGACATAATTACTCAATCAAAACTCATTTTATTATTATATGAACATATTACTATACATTTATTGATTAACCTAGTCTAAATTGTTTACTAATAAAGTTAACTAGCCAACTGATCGGATTGTTATTATGGCAATTTCTATTCAATTGAAACAAATTTTATTAGAGAACGTAGTATACAAGCGTAATTGAGTACCTATAAAGGTAAATAATACTTTTAGAAATTAAATAATCATTGCTTAATTAAGTATAATAAATTTTCCGGACACGTGTAGAGCTAAGAATTGTAATTAGTACAGATTAAAAAAAAACTAGATTAATGTAAACAAACCCTAATAATTTCAGATCAGTGTGACCAACATATAAAAAAAAAACTAATCCTTGTGTAATACAGTCTGGTCAAAGAAATGTCATCAAACATGTGTAATGTTATCACCGAGTTCTTTGACCAAGTTTGGTAACTCCCTACACGGAAAAGGGCAGCCGTTTTTTTCCAACATGGCGGCCGCCGGCGTTACCTTTTGCGCACAAAAACGTGTCGGCTGATCGATGCACGCCGGTGGCCGCCATGTTGGAAAAAAACGGCTGCCCTTTTCCGCGTAGGGAGTTACCAGACCCGGTTATACGATCGTGGTTATCACCGTCAACCATAGTTAACCAACGCATTGTTATCAGTAGTGATAACACGTTGATTGATTTGATTGTCATCGCTCGCATTGTCTATGATTCGTGTTAAGTTAAGGCTTGTCGATAAACTAATGATAAATAACAGCGCTAAAACTATATCATCAACAGCGGTGGTTTGCTTACATTGTTTCGTAGACTTCTTTCATCTCTTCCGACATTGGATCTGTATTGCTGAATATTTGTGTCAATTCGGATCGGTACTTGTAATTGGCCACCAGAGTCTTGTATGCTTTTTTCACGTCGAAAAAGGCACTGTGCAGGAACATGACGATTTCTTTGTCTGGAAATAATTATGTTTTAGTTTCATAGACAATAGTTATTAAGAATAATATCAAAAAAAAAAACAAACAGCATCGTGGTAAACACCGTACCTTTGACTGGTGGTAAATTTTTGTTGGCATCTACTAGTTCTTTCAACGCTTCGATATCTTCCAAATTTAATTCGGGATATTTTTCTTGTTCTAGTTTGAGAAATTCCTCATAAGTCGTTTCGATCGCGTACGTCATGATGATATCAACTCTGTAATAACAAATACAGTGGTCAAAAACTATATACTATTCCCACAGCAGTCGAAGCTATGAGAGTATGTTATCATTTTTCAAACAAAACATTATTACACCTAGATGTGGCGGTTGTTAATTTAGATAAAAAAGGGCTGTACAACTGTTTCGGTTATTATCTGTTTCCAGATATAGATAATATTTCTTCGTTTAAAATTATTAATTAATAATATTGCACATATCGTTAAACTAATTATAAAAAATAACACACATTATTTAATACAAATAAAATAAAATATTTAATAATATATTATATAATAATAATTTACATAAAGTATATGTTTTAAATAATTCCAAAAATTTGATTAAAAATAATGGTCTTAAGTTTTGAGAACAGCTCATTAACATTGAACTGGTAATTTTGTATATTTTATATAGTTTATACTACACAGGTTGTCCAACAAAGATTTGACAAATGAAATTACTTTTGCTCTGGTGAATATTTTTAAGATGTTTTTTTTTTATTAAATCAATTTATACTAATTTGCGCTGTACATTTCTGGCAGCTTTAGTTTTTTTCAATTTTAAGATAGTCATTTTATTAACAATAATTTGCTGAAAATATTGACTGGCCGACAACCAGTTTTGGATAATTACTTTTAAGGTTATTTGAGTAAGACAAGAGGTGGTGTGCGGTAGATGCGGTTCACCCTTCCTAAATTTTAAAGCTTTTTAAAAAAAACTAATCACGACCAGCAAGAAAATTCGAAGCAAATTATTCTTAATAAAATGGCTATTTAAAATTTAAAAAAAAATCTTAAAAATATTCACTAGAGCACAAAAGTTATTTAATTTGTAAAAATCTCTGTGGGACACCCTGTATTATCTATAGTGTGCTTCGTTAATTTGTTTTTCATCCAAGGTTAGGTTAACCTAACCTAATCTAATCTAACCCAACCAATAATCAATGATAAATAATCTACTGTAAAAATACAATAGAGCCGAATGTTTCAAGTATGAAACCGCTATATTATTTCCTTTTCCAACCTATCTCCTTATCCAATTAGCAACGCTTTAATATTTTCGTTTTAATCCAACTATGTGACGTCAACGTGTAACAAGTAAATTATTAAGTCTGCCTGTAAGGTCATTATCAAGATTAGTATACATAAGGCCATACCGGTTTGTGTACGTCACAATACAATATAGTTGTAACGTATACTTTTGCCTATTGTCAAAATCAATATAAGGCATATGTCGAGCCGTATTTTAGCTATTGATTTATCGACGAAAAATGAGAAAAAAAATACAATACAAGCCTCACGCAGAAAACCTCTTGAACGATCCCCACACATTTGCTCAAACAAACAAACACCATGTTAATATTTTGTACTTTTTAAAAAGCTAGGTACGACAGCGACGGTCGTTAGCTGAATATTATATTTCTTAAAACAGCTGTTGTAAAATTCAAAAACAGTAATGTCAGGTTCGGTTTTGGTTTGTTTGGTCAAATCTATTATTTTAGCCCAAATGTATTTACAATTACTTAAAACACCCATTCAATGTAATTTTGAGTTAAAAATTGTATTTTTACAATACAGGTCAAAATTACTTAGGTAGTTGTCGAGTTGTAATTATAAAATGTAACATAATTAATATACTACTATTATAGTACTTTTAAACTAGTAACATGTTATGGTTACTTATAGCTGTTATAAATAATAGACAGTTAAAAAAAGTGTGAAGCTAAGATGTTTGGTAGTTTTTTGTATTTAATTGTAAAAAAAAGTTTTGCCATAAATCATTTTATTAGCAACTAACATCACATCTTCGAAAACTAAAAAAACCCTACTTGGGTTTTGTTAGAGTTTTTTTCTTCTTCTAAATTTCTCATTTCTTATACCAATAAAAAAAATATATAGAAATTTTCATTTACAAAACTTAGACAGGGGTACCTATATTAAACGTTAGAAAGTATTGGAATATGAGTGATGTAAAACAATGTACACCAAGAGCAGTTTGAATAGTAACAGTTGTATGTATATTATGTGCTATTTGCAGTTATCAATTTTGTAAAGGTCAAATTTAAAACGTGACCTTGATAAGCTGTGGCAATCTAGAGAAGAATAGGCGATAATCTTCATGGGAATATAATATATATATATATTTGCATAAACCATTATTGATTGATAAACGACACATTGTATTCTAAAAATGTACTTTAAACACACTTACTGAATGCCTCACGAAAAACCGTCTAGTTGATTTGTCGATTAATTTTCAAGATTGATTTCACAAATCTGATCAGGCGGTTTTATTTGTAAGTAGGAAAAAAGCGTTCAAGTAAAAACCGTCGACACGTGACGAATTATAAAATATTTAAAACGATTACATAAGATTCAACAATGTAATTAAGAAATTGAAAAAAAAAACGATTTGTAATTAGTTATTTTTTTATCAATCATCACCCAAACACAGAGCGCTAATGCTGTACTCATTACCTACACACACACACAGTGGGCTAACCCGCTCGGGTATATTAGTTTTAACAACAGCATCAAAATCACATGACTGAGTACAATATGACGTCATTGAATAATTAATTATGAAGGCTGTTGTCATTTGTTTGTAGGTACTTTTTTCTTCTTACTTGCAAGTAGTTTAGTCAAACTGGTATTTATTACGATGACTGGCCAAGCCGGTCGTTGTTGTACTTAAACAGGTAGGTAATCAAATTTGATTTCAAACTCATTAATTTCTAGGAAACAATTTTGAATCCATTGGTTTATATTTTGACAAAAATTGTGTACCTTTGGTCTAACTCTCAGATCTTACACCCCATAACCTCTCCTGACAAAGAGAAGTAAACCAAAAGTACCCAACCCTTCTGTTTGAGTTGAAAAACATGTACATTTTTTAGGCGTTTTTCTCCATTTTGCAAGGGTTGACCTTAAAATTAAGATTTTGCCCATTTACATTTTTTCTCAAGAGCTGTATTAGCTTTGACCATATATCTGAGCACTTTACTAACCTCAATGCACTTTTACATACATATAACAGAAAAAAAAAATGATTATCATCATAAGAAAATACACGTGAAGTTAATTATTATTTTTAGTTTAAATTATTACTGTTAGTATAATTTTAATGCAAAGAACAAATAATTAGTAAATTAAAATATACATCTCTGTGCTATTGTATACAGCTGTAAGCTGATATGGTTAATATTTTACACTGTCTTATTCCAACACGGGTTTCATACATATTGTTATCATGTTGAAATACAAATACCGAATTTAAGACATCATTAAGGAATCGCACTTTTTCTTTTCGATAAAAAAAAAAAACAACTAAAGAACAATAGTTCATTGACTGCGAAGAACCAAAACACATTCACCTTGCACATTTGGAAAACAAATATTTATCTTTCTGCGCTATTATATTGTGCATGTTAAATGGATTTTGAACCTTTTAAATTGATTTAATTAGACCAAATAAGTAACGTTTGAAAATTGAAGTAAACAACAATATTAGTCTGGTCTCAAAGCGTTATCTAAGGTTTTCTAAACCATTAAATATTTCTACATCGAGCCACAAAATTGATATCACAAATAAACAGTTATTGTTGTTATTTAAAAAGTTTTATAAATTGATAACTTAGAAATAGATCCAGAAACACAAAAAAAAAAACACTTCACTGTAAAGACAATACCTTCTCAGCTCTGCTTGGAAGCTAATCATATTGTGTTTGTACAATTTTAATAATATTATCATCTTGTGGACTATGTCCTTAAACAGACCTGAACCGATTGGGGACATAGGTAAACCGTAATCAACAATATAATGCAAATATTTACTAGACTGTTTGAATCGTCTCGTATTAAAGTAGATAAGATTTATTATTTTCAAATTTAAATGTAGATAATGACTTAAAGAATGTCACTTTTGTAAGTTTCAATATGATTTAACAATATATACCTATTAACAATTGTTACATTTTTGATTTGATTATGTCTGGAAATAAAAGCTAACAGATTTCTAGAAACATTTCCAATATCAATTATGTGTTATATATAATATTAATGACAAATTAATGTAAATTAACATAGTGTTTATTGACAAGTATTAATATTAAAGATTGATTGAAGACTGGACAAATTTTTTGTTCCTTGACCTACTGTTTCTTATACCTAATAGCCCAACAACAACAATATGATAATAATTATTGTAAGACACAAGTGAACCGGCCAAAGACCACGGTGGAATTTAAGTCGAGTTGGCCTTTCCTTTGTGCCAGTTTGTTTAATGTGCTAAATGGTATAGCTGTGCAATTTGTTTGTGAATAACCTTTCTTTCTTCACCAAAGAACCTTTTTTGTTAACAACTTGTTCGTTGTTTTCAATTTTATTACCAGTTACTGCGTTTTAACAGAATATAATACCTATATGAAACGTTTCATTTTTTTGTAATTTTCATTACTACAGTGTGCTGATGAACAAAAATATGATTTAAACAGAAATAGATTTCTATGAACCAGAGTACCTATACAACAATGCATGTAAGACATAATATTATTTTTGTTGGTGACTTTGGGAGTAAAGATCATAATATTATTCTTGCATATATGCAAGATGCTGCTGCAAAACAGTTTTTAGCAGCTACTTTGAATCGCTGAATATTTATGGGCGTTAAATTTAAATGTAAATGTTAAAACAATAAATAACCCAGTCATAACTATACCTAATAATCTACATTTTGCTCGGTTTTCACACAAGACAGTGTGAAGGCTCACTTGAAAACTCATATTCATTATATTGTCTAATTTATCAGTGCCAAATTCTGTAGTCTCATCACAGTCATGGTCGATATAGTCTTTTTTGTAAAATCAGATTATATGATGGCTACATAAAATTAATAGTTCTCAATGACTTGCCATTTTTTATTTATAACTCAATTTTATTGAATTTCATCACAAAAAAAAAAGAGCAAATCTGTAATCTGTTACACGTCAAACTGTTATAAGAAAAGAGCAATCCGCACAAATGTTCTGAACCTTTTTGTTCAAGTTTGTAAAAAAAAAATATTTGTTATTAACAATTTTGATTTTCTGTATATTACTTACACCAGTGTTACCAACATAATTATTGTTGGCAACGCTAGTAAAACAATAGTATTGTAAAAATATACTTTGTGATCAATTTAACACTTGGACAATTTTTTTTATAAGAATATTTTTTAGTTTTTAAGACATTTTTTAGTTTAGATAATTTTACAATAATATATTACGTTTTCTTTTATTTCTTGTCTTTTTAAGTAGAAAATTTTCAAGAACAGTAACGACTTGTGAAATTTAAACAGGAACGTTTAAAATAAACATTTAAAATTTTGTATTTTATTAACTTTTTATGTTGAGAAAAATGTGCAATTAAAGTGAAAAGTACTATATTTTCAACAAGAGGTAAAATTTGACATGAATTGATCAACAAGTCATTCTAAATATGGTAAAGATAAATGAACATTAATTTTTCCTAACTAAACAAAATAAGTGGCAGAGGTTTAGCCAGATTTGTCAGATAGAACATAATATTTTCTTATAGTTGACAATTTACTAGTTTTAAAACGACACAAATAAATTTCACCATCTAATTAATGTATGGCGTGATACACAAGGACTTTTTCTTAAGAAAAAATAACTAATAACTATTGTTTTTTTGTTTCTACCGATTTAAATAAATGTAAATTTCTAAACTCCGCAATTACAAATGTAACCTAATAACAATTACTGGAATATTATCTGTTAGAAGAATTTTTTTTTATATTTTTGTTGCAAAAAAATTGCAACTTTATAGTACTTCCTCAATTCTAAGATATTTTCCTATATGCGTCACTTGAAGGCTTTGCTGTGCGTTATTAGTCATTAGAATATTAATGCCTTTAAAAAAAAAAAAAATTGTTTTATATTATATACTTTATACATAGCAATATATTATATGTTGTTATTATGACTAGTAAATTATATTTAGTTGCACACACACACACACACACACAATTATTAATTATTTGTACACTAATTATTTACAATAGCGACAAAGTAATAATAATTAATATTACCTACCTGGTTGCCGATTGCTAATATATATTATTCCTATGCCGGCAAGTAAACCGACGGTCTGTTGCGAACGATGCGGACTAATTCTACTCTACGACAGTGCTAGTCGGTGTCTGCCGGTGGAATAGGTAATTTATAATTTATACACCATGTACACAGTATGTATGTCAATAGAGTATTGAGATAAAGAGGCGGCCAAAGGTGCACGGATTGCCAAAGGCCTATTGAAAAAAAAAAAAGAAGTGAACTTTGGACACGATACGGTAGTGGATAAATGCATGCCGCTAGATTTGATACGTAATCATCGATAGGTAACGTCACCACATCAGGAGCAACAAAGAGAATTAATCAACTGTACATTTATACAATTATATATTTTTTGAACGATTTATATTTTATCTAACTAGACTAACGGATTCAACAAATAAAAAAAAAAAACCCGTCGGTATATTTGGTTTTTGTGTTTGTACATGGACAATTGTTATTAATTATTAGTAGCACGTCTGACCACAACACTTTTACAAAATTGGGAGTGAACATAATAATATTTATAATAGCGTTAAAAATTAAATCTTAACTCTATATAACAGCGTCATAATCAAATAGGCTACACAACATATAAATATAATATTAAATATAATGTATAATATTTCACTTGTATAGTTTTTTTATCGACAACAAGCGCAGGACAAGACAGGAAAAGAAAAGAAAAACAAAAACAAAATAGTTTAAGAAAGCCACGGGCCAAATAACAATAATCCAACAAAACAATGTAGCCTAATGCGTGCGATATAATTTTAAACGGGGCCGGTACAGAGAAATAATAATGATTGTCAAAGTTTTAATGCACATTGAAAATGGCCAAGGAATAGACAGAAAACAAATTGGTGTTATTGGTGTAAAAAAAATTGTCAGCGTTCTACAGACTATAATTGATAACTCGTCAACATTAAAACTACTTAATTTATATCGTTCGTTATTCATTTCAATCGTATTCGACAAACGGTACTCGATAAAACATATTTTTGCACATTTGGTATAAAAATAAAAAATCGGATAAATGAAATTTTCAAAAAAACAATACACCTATTACACACAACAGCTGTCGTTGATCACACGATAATTATTATAATATTATATCTTGTTATATTGGTCAATCGAGTTTAAAACGTTGTCGAGTATTATTTGATTTGTTACGCGTCATTGGAATAACGCACATTATCGACGGCGACCGATGAGTGTAAAATAATTGAAAACAACTCCAAACGATCGGGTAGTTATTGGATTATTTTAAAATGAAACTTAAAAAAAAAATAATAATAAAAAGTTCATATTTTATGTTTAGCCACTGGTTGAACATTCAGTCTTGGTATTTTAGAATATCAATCGGCAACTATATTACTAAAAAAAATTAAAACTGACAATATATAAATAATCATAATAATTATAATATATAATGTTTATATATATATATATATATAAAAGTAATTTTTTTTAATGGTTTTTTTTTTCAAAATTTTCGTCAACAACACAATAATAATAATAATAATAATAATATAATAATAATAATAATGACTTACAGATAAAACGGATTATAATTTATAAACGAGAATAATAATATATTTCTAATAATCATAATATAATAATACAATAATAAATATATTTTATTTTTATTAAATTTTTTTTTTTTGTTCAAAGCGTATTATTTACAAAATGTAATATAATTTTTTTTTTAAATATTTATTTGGGCGTTTTTAGTTACATATAATAATAATAATAATAATAATAATAATAATAGAAAAAAAAAAATTCATAAATTATACAATTACACCGAATTTCGCACGCAAGTTGTTATACTCTCCGACAAGAGAATAAATAAAAAAAATTGTCTTTCCGTTTTATACATATTATTTTATACTTAAACGCGTAACGAGGAATATTACAATAATATTTTATGGCAATCGAATAAAAAATATATTATTATTAATATTATAATAAAAGAAAAAAAAAGAAAGAAAAGTCATTTGTTTTCAATAATAAAAATCAAATATCAAAAAAAAAAAAAATATAATAAAATAAAAAAGGGGAGCCACTCGCTTTGGAAACATATGCAAGAATAACTAGTTGAGATCAAACGAGACTCTTCTCCCCCCCCCTTGCGTACAATTTTGTATCTTTCTTTTTTCGCTTTAGCCGACCACCACTGGTAACTCATGTGCAACTCCTTTTGGCATTTCCAATGACATTATTCGAAATTATAAATAATAATCATTATTATAAACAATTATTACCTTGTTTAGTATTACGTGACGTGAATACCGTTCTCAAAGGCCGCGGCAATCGAATAATAATTGTATAACGTAAAAACCGCGTAACACAATATTAATGACAAATCATACTTTGGTTGTTGGTTATTTTTCTATTTGGTACCTTATTAATTGGTGTTTGTTTTGTTTGGAGTGCCCATATAGTTTGTACGTGTGATTGTATGACATCATATATTATAAGTAGGAACAAAAAACGTCTAATACCCGACGTTAACCTTTTTTTTTTTTACTAAATATTAAATAACTACTATAAAAACATTAATGGTTTTCTTCCACATATTTGTTGGATTTGAATCATTTTTTTAAAAATTTTAGTCGTCATTTCTCTAATACATTCGCTATTTAAAATTAATATATTACGATTAATGAAACGCCATTTGTCAACTTTCAACAACATTTGCCGAGAACACGATAATTATTGTTAATAAAAAGTTAAAAATAATTATATTATGGCATTTCAATTAAAAACAAAATCACAGATAAAGATTATCGTTTAACGGTTTCTTCGAAAGAGAAATATTTAAAATATAATCTTTAAACGACGCTACGATTTGTTTTTCGCTCGGGAAAAAAGTTTAATTATTAGTAGTTTAAACCGACTTCGTATAGTCGATGTGTCGACGTCAACGTTACCAACGATTTCTCGATATCACAGCATTTCCACATTTAACAACGTATCGGTCGTTATGGCTAACAACAAATAATGCTTTTTCAAAATTCATTATTCAATGGGCATCGAGAAAGTCAAAATTGAAATCGCCAAAGGTCTGTTGCTTGTTGTTAAAACCGTTCTTGCTGTCGTTAGCGAGTGGCTGATCAAGAAAATCGAAATTAAAATCACTAGGGCTAAACGTATTGCGGGCCGGTAATCCGGTGTTGGTGTTGTTGAGCATGGCCGATTGGCCCGTCACGGGTGTCGGTTGTTGCATCGACGACGCGCTCGCTTGCGCAAACTGTTGGTGCGAACTGGCCGAATAGTTTGAAGCCGCCGCCGCCGCCATGTTACGCTGCTGCTGATACGGATTACCGTTGTTTATCGCCGTCTGTTGCTGGGCGAAAGACTGTTGCTGCTGCGTGCGTATCATGGACTGATGTTGCTGCTGCGGTTGAGGCTGTTGCTGTTGTTGTTGTTGATGGTGATGCTGTTGTTGGGCGATCATTTGCCCTTGGTTACCGCCGGCCATTCGACTCGGTGCACCCGCACCCATCTTTATGCCCATGGTTTGAGTCATTTGTAAATTAACAGACATCTTAAGGGGAAAAAAAATATATATATATTTGGTAAACAAAAAGGAGGAAAATTATAAATCGGTCATTACTTGATTATTTTGCGACTGCATGTTTATGCTGGCGTGTTGCTGTTGCTGCTGCGCCATCGCTTGTTGTGCGTTACCCATACGGGCAGACATGTGTTGCATTTGTCCGGCCATCAGGTGAACGCTGCCGGGCCCGCCGGTCTGGCATGAATTCATGTTCGGATTGTTGCCGCCAAATCCGCCGACAATATTGTTGACCGGGCCGGCGTTACTCGGCTGATTGACGTTGCCCACTGAAAAACAATAACGATACACGTTAAAACCGATTTCTCATGCCGCTCTATAAACTGTCGTAGGTTAATTACTCGAAGCCTGGGTGAACGCAGGTCTGAACTGTTGTTGTTGTTGTTGATGCTGCTGTTGCTGTTGTTGTTGCTGCTGCTGCTGCTGCTGCCTTGCGGCCAGCAACTGTTGCCAATCGCTGTTGAACGCTTCTGTGCTGGGCGTTACGTTCGGCGGTCGCTGTAGGTTGTTGCCGCCGCTCGGGTACATCATGTTCCTTTGGACCGATGGCATCCGGTCGTATCCGCTGGCCATCGGACTGGCGTTTCCACCGCCCCCAGTATTGGCCATTTGCGACCGGAGCATGGGGCCTGGGCATCGTATAAAAGCACATATTTAGAGACATTATATAATCACTTAATGTTTTTTTTGTCTTATATTTTATAAAAAAAAACTTACCCGACGGCGGTATGGGTTGTTGCTGCATGGGTCGCCGTGTCTGGGCGGCCTGCAGCATGGGTTGTCGAGCAGGTGGCATGTAACCGCCTTGGGCGGCATACTGCGGCGTCTGGCACATGCCCATGTTCTGGGCCACGTTGAGTTTGTACTCGGGCGGCGGTGGCCTGCAAGCTCCAGGGCCGTTCATCATGTTCATCTGTTAAAAAAAAAACAAACAAGGTAAAAAATTGATCGTCATCGACCTCCTCCTATTGAGTTAAACGACTCACGGGTGTCCTGTTCATGTGCTGGGGCAACATGTGATGTTCGCTGGCCATGTTGGACTGTTGTTGAACGCTAGTGGGCGGCCTTATGTTCGTGGGACTGGCTCCGGCGGTCAGCAGCCGGGCCCTTTGCTGCGAGAACGTCACGCTCTGCGACTGGCTCATGTGCATGTACGACTGTTGTTGTCCGCCGTTGTCGGCACCGCAGTTGGAGTTGTAGTACTGCTGCATGGGCCCTCCGCAGTTGGGCGCGGCCGAAGATGTGACCGACGGGCCTATGAGCCGGTCCTGGATGCCGCCGGGACCTTGACCGAAGGCCTGGAAAGAAAAAGAAAAAAGATATAAAAATTAGTGAACGTTATTAATTCCTTAATACTCATCCATACTACTTCATAATCCCTCCACGATCCTCTATAATTCCTTAACACACTTCCATACTCATCCATAATTCTTAATACTCATCTATGATCCTCTATAATTCCTTAATGCTCTTCCATACTCATCCATAATTCCTCAATACTCATCGATAGTTCCTTAATGCTCCTCCATAATCAATGACGTCAGCACAAAACGTGACGGACAAATTAGTGAACAGTACAAAAGATCCAACGACGATCACTACCACAACTGCACAAGTTCCGGTAGTGCAACAACCGGATATTACTAATTTTTTTTTTAACGTTGCTCGCATTTGATTGTTATTATTATAATAATAACGCCGTTGGAATTTTCCACAGTGCGTTTACCGAAATGCAGTTAAAAGTGATCAGTCAACCGTGTAAAACAATCATCATAAACAATGGGGATAGGTTTCACGCACTTGTCCGTTGTGCGCTGTGTAATTACCAGCCGATTTTCGAGATTAAAATATTATTAACACACCTGTGTAGCACTTGGCACGACAATAGCTATCGAAAAAGTCACAAAATTAAACGTCCCAACTAACTTTGACACACCCCGAAGACATAGAAGATGGACTATACTTGTTTACTTGACCGCGAAGCATAACAGGTTTATTATATTTATAACACAGAAATATTACAGTCATTAGTAAAACATCAAAGTCACTTCCGGTTATAAACATAGACCAGAGTTTATCATTGTACTCAGGGAGGTATCAGATAGTCAGGAACAATAGTGCAATCAAGTATACACCAAATTGTGATCCAACTGAACAGGGCATTTTATATTTTGTTTTTGACAGAAATAAGGAGCAAACTTTCTTGTACAGCAAACTACTTCCTGATTATCTAACACCTCCCCGGGTACAATATGCGAAAACAATAACAAACACACTGCGGTCTTTATACCTAACCGGAAGTGACTTTGATATTCTACTAACGACTGCAGAATTTTTCTGTATTTTCCCTATATTAATTGTTTGCAACAAAACACACATATTATTCCAACCGTACCTACAGACTTTTGCACGAACAATACAATATGTTCTGTTTGATAATAAAAATACCTACAAAATGGCCAATGAATACCAAAAAAAAAAAAAAAATGATGTTGATGAAGTTGTCTGTGGAATATTACAATAAATTACTGTGCGAGGACGTGGGAACGCGTTACCTATTTTTTTTTTTTACTATTATTGCAGTAGGTACTTTTAGTTTAATCGCATGTGTAATTTTCCTCTAACGTTAAGTGGCGAATCGCTACCACGTCCAACGAGTATTACAATAATATATATATATATATATTAATATTACAGGAAGTCGACATTGTCTTGCATAATAAGCCATCGATGATAGTAGGTATACTGGACGTGCACATATAGTGTAATATACATAATAATTATTATTATTATTGTGATCGAGTGCGACACACACACACACGTTGCTGCGAGTAGTCCATTGTTGCCAACTGCACACACTCACACGATGACAACACTTGGATTTAATTAAAAAACCATTACACCGAATATCTTCTGGGCCTCTGTTACAATATTGTATAGCTGTTATACTATCCCAAGTGTACACGTGTATTATAAAGTTTTACAGTTGTTGTTAACCATTAATAGTCCAAACTATTTAGGCCAAAATAATCAAGCTAATAATAGTAGTAGTAGTAGTAGTACACGAATCGAGCGAAGGTGGTGTCGCACGCGAGAGTCCTTCTACTGCTAGTAGTGCAGAGAAAGCCCCACCGTCGGTAATGACTGTATGATTAGACATTAGCACGGTCAAATCGTGAACTATTTATCTGAACGTAGGTATATAATAATATAATATAAAAGTATTGTGTTGGGTAACAGTTACTTCATTGCGCGGAGAAAGCGAACGGCGCAGGAAGCGGACTAAAAAAAAATCAAAATATAATAAACAAACAACGAGAGAGAGACATAATGTACACACACACACACACACACAAGTTCAGAAGGCAATAGTAGGACGAGTCGAGATGTACAAGCATTTCTCGAGTGGATAAGTACAAAAAAAAAACACATTTAATAGATAAAAAAACTATCATAAACGCCACGTCGACCGAGACAAATGTCTGGCGAAGGATATATGCAATGAATAACAGCTCTTGGAACGCACACGATAGTGGTGTTGGGTGTTAACTGACAAATGTTCTGTACCGAGTGAGAGGGACCACTCGTATTGAATTGTGTAACAATTTTATCTACAGCTACTATATGTACGGACAATACAAGTAATAATTATCGCTCACTACCATCGTGGAAAGTATGATAATTCTAATGGAAATTTAGAAATCATTGACTGTTGTTTGCTCATAAATGCACATACATAGTTGGAAAATGAAAAGAAACAAACCAATGTGAAACAACAAAAGTGAAGAGGATCTACAGATACATCAATACATGTATGTCCTGCAATCTAGTATCTCTTATTCACTATCTCCAATCCACTATCTCTATTAATTCGCCTCCATAATCCTCCTCCATACTCTTCCATAATTCCTTAATACTCATCCATACTCTTCCATAATTCCTTAATACTTCATACTCCTCATGTTTCTCCTCTATACTCTTCCATAATTCTTAATACTCCTTTAATACTCCTCCATATTCATCGATAATTCCTTAATGCTCCTCCATAATCTATGACGTCAGCACTGTGACACAAAACGTGACGGACAAATTTTCAGAATTTCCCCCAGCCATGTGAATAAGCCAAATAGATTTGAACAAGCCGAATTAATTGCTATAATTGAAAGAATGTAACGGATCTATCACGCGAGAGCTACTAAGACGAACGTTTAAAGAACACAGCTCTTATTAGACCCGTAGTCGCTATACTATGGAGCTGAAAGTTGGACATCGTCATAAGCAGATGAAAACGGATTAAAAGATATTCGGTAAGAAGGAAATAGAGCAGATTTTAGAGATGGTTATCTTAATTACCTGTTGTTGGCCTTGTTGGCTGACGTGCACCTGTTGGGACTGAGACATTTGGAAGGTGGTAACGTCCGGGCTGGCGACGTTGGGCTGCGGCGACAGCACACCGGAAGCCGCGCCGGGAGACGGCGTTATCCTGCGGGCGCCGACCGGATACTGCGGACTGCCGTGCCCGTTGAACTGATTGTACCGGGATTGCGGCGACGGTTGGGGTTGTTGCTGGGGTGGCTGCTGCTGCTGCTGCTGTTGTTGTTGTTGTTGCGGCGGCGGGAGCGGCTGTTTTTGCCGGGACGCGGCGGGCGCCGCCGGTTGCTTTATCCTGGGCTTGGGCGGTTCCTGATAGTAGTTGTTGTTCTCCTGTTGCTGCTGCTGCTGCTGCTTGTCCTGGTGGTACATGGAGTTGACGGGGGACATCATGTTGTAGCCGGGATTGGGAGTGCCCACGGGCGTGCTGGGCGAATGGATAAAGTCGGGCACCGAGCCGGGCGACTGGTACGGGAAATCGTAGCCGCATTTTTCCGGCCTCTGCTGCTGGTTGTTGTGCTGTTCGGCCAGCTGTTTCAGCGTCTCGGCGGCCACGCAGTTGGAATAGTTGTTGTTGTTGTTGTTGTTGTTGCCGTTTCCTCCGTTGCCGCCGCCGCCGCCTGCCCTTTGTTGTTGTTGTTGTTGTTGTTGGGGCTGTTGGTCGAACGGCGACTTGACCGGCGGCGTGCACCTCGGGTCCGGCTCGGTCTTGATGGGCCGTTTGTCGCACAGGCCCACCTGGTTGAAATCGGCCGGCGTGATGCCCTCGCTGTTCAGGTCGGAAATGATCTCGGTCAGCGTGTCCGTGTCCACGGCCAACATTGGCTCGTTGGTGTCGCTGTTGATGAACGACAAGTCGTTGAGGTCGCCGTCGCCCGGGAAGTCCATCAGGTCCGGTTGTTCCTGTTTGCACTCCATCGGGTCGGCCGGGCCGCCCGTCGTGGGCCCGGCACCGGCGGCCGTCGGCGACTGCTTGGTGGTCACGTCGCTCTGCACGGACGTGTTGACCGACGTCAGCGTCAGGTTGGTGGAGATCTGGGCGTTGTGCTGGTGCTCGCTGGTGCTGAACTCCAACTCTTGGACGATCTTCACGCTGAACTTGGCGTTGTTGCCGTTGTCGTTTTTACCGGAGTGCGGCGACGACGACTGCTGGCTGTTGTTGCCGCCGGCCAGCGGCACGCATTTCGGCGGCGGCGGCAAGCCGTCGTGGTTGCCGTACGGGCCGCCGCCGTCCTGGCCGGCCTCCAGGTCCTCGCTGGACGGCCGCTTCACGCCGAATTTCTGTAAACACACAAAACGCACATCGTCAATATTATTATTGTAAAGAAAGTAGCGGCGGCGGCGGCGGCGGCCACGGACGAGAGAGAGATGCGCTACGCAACGCGTATCATAGCGGAACGACGCAAATGACAAAGCGCGTTTATTAAACACAACATATAACGTAGTAAGCGGGTACCGTAATATTAAATACTTTCTCTGTTATGTTGTCGTGAACGTGGTACGGGGGAGTGAACAACAACAACAATTAACCCTTCACTGCATGTAAGTGCATAGTGCATTTGGTTATTTATATTGATATCACATTTTTTATTGATTGTGGTTAATATTTTTTATCAATAAAAGTGCAGTAAACTCTTAAAAATATACTTTGCAAGTGCTTGAAAACGAGAGATTTCAATAAAATTTAACTACATCGTGTATCCGGCGTGGGTTATGCAAAGTCCAAACGCGTTGGCCTACTTTATGTCACCGTCTCGTTTATCACACACACACACACACAAACTGTGCAACGACTGTGTCGAATAATGTCAAAACAACAACAACAACGCAAAGAGAGTCGATTAACGGCCGCGTTATTTTTTTACTAGGACAACGTTGAGTAAAATTTACTCTGCCTAATAATATCGTATAGTACAGCTACGATTGAAGCGAAAATATTGTTTAAATCGTACCGTTACACAATCGTATACAGGGTGGTGATTTAGCCCTGGCAATCTTGTTACTTGTACATAATAACAATAATAATAACACAAGAAGTTTACCAATCACGTATACCACGCAACGTCACTGTAAGAACTGTCGACGCGGTCGTTAACCTGCACACAATTTGTTTTACTCTTTCTCTTCACCTCTCTCTCTCTCTCTCTCTCTCTCTCTATCCGCTCGTTTAAAGCAAATTTCTTTCACTTGAGCATCATATCAGCCGCTGACCGCGAATCACAAAACTCACAGCGCCTATAAAACTTTATGTTACCTATCTTTACTACAATGTAGACACACAGTTTTATTGATCTCAAACGCAACGTTGTAGAACGCATAGTTATAATTGATGCCGCTAAACATATTAGTATTTAATATACATATATATATATATATTTTTTTTATGACTAGACGCAGCACCAAACTCCTCCACAGGTAAAATGTCTAGTTTAAGAATCACATTCCTCTTGGTTTATAATGTTATTAAAACGAGTATGTTAATTAATGAGGCGGCGACTGTCGTTATTTGTATTTTAGGTACCTACTAGTTAAACAAAAAAAACGCATAATAGAAGAGTACACTGATTACCGTCCGTTGTACTCATTTATATGCTACATCAAAAGGGATATTATCTTGAACGCAACTCTAATAGTACACACGAGAGTATCTAATTTGGTTTTTGTATCCCGTCTGGAAGATCAAATGTAAACCGTACACCATCTCCGTAGGGTAAACACGAGAAAATATATTGATCACAAAACTTTGGCGGGAACTTATCGTTATCCGCGACCACGACGTTAAAACTGCGCTATCTGCCCAACGGAACAGCCGTATCTCCTTATCGTGGTACGTACTGTGTATGATATATTATGTAAAATTAGGTGTACTACTGTAATGGTAATCGATTGATATACATGCACATAATATACAATATATCATAACAACATACAAAACAGCCATACGATTGCCACACACAAAATATTCTAGTGGCTGTACCTATAATAACCGTTATAATACAACAACTGGCCGCATGTCCTCTTATAATACATTTCTTATTGACATGGATATGTCTTATGGCTGAAGGTCATTTTGAAATTTTTCCGTCACAGTGCTGACGTCATTATGGATTATGGAGGAGGATCGTGGAGGCAGTATGGAGGAGTATTACGGAATTATGGAGGAGTATTGAGGGTAATCGTGGAGGGATTATGAAGGAGTATGGAATATGATTATGGACGAGTATGGAGAAGTATTAAGGAATTATAAAGGATCATGGAGGGATTATGGAGGTAAATTAATAGAGATAGTGGATAAGAGATAATAGATTACAGATACTAGATTGCAAGACATATCCATGTAATGATGTAACTGCATGAAGTGTGGATACTTTTAACTTTTGTTAAAGACTTTTATGAGATTTCATCGTTATGGATTACTGAGGTGTATTAATGAATTATGGATGAGTATGGAAGAATTATGGAGGGATTATGGAGGTGTATTAATGCATTATGGAGGTGAATTAATAGAGATAGTGGATAAGAGATAAGATATTAAAGATACTAGATTGCAGGACATATCCATGTATTGATGTGATGTATCTGCAAAAAGTGTGGATACTCTTAACTTTTTTTCCACATCGTTTTGTGTCTCTTTTTCATTTTCAACTCTTTGTGCATTTATGTGTAACAGTCGATGATTTCTATTCAAGACGTTTATTAGGTTTGTATAAATGTACTAATTGATAATTTTCATTAGAACTATCATACTTTCCACGGTGCGAGGTGAGCAATTATTACTTACTCGTATTGTCCGTCCATACAGTAATCTACAGATAAAAATTGTTACACAATTGAATACGAGCGGTCCCTCTCGCTCGGTACAGAACATTAGACGTCATTATGGATTATGGAGGATCATGGAGGGAATATTAAGGAATTATGGCGGAGGATCGTGGAGTGGAGGCGAATGGAATAGAGATAGCGGATTGGAGATAATAGATTGCAGAACACATTCGTGTATCGATGTGTCTGCATGCAGTGTGAATAGATCCTCTTGACTTTTATTATTGTACACCTAATAATAATTGTAATGGGGCGAATGACGCTCAGCGTGTATACAAACACACACACACACACAAAGAGTAAGCATAGAGGGCTGAGGGTTAATCAATACTAACTCGGAACACAAGCGGCGGCGGCGGCGGCGGGGCTTTCCCGTCTTTGTGTGCGCGCGTAAACTATACTCCGGGGGACGACGAAAGCGGCCGATAGCCAACGGGTCGCCGTTTGTGTCCCCTCAAAGAAATTACAATAAGATTATAATATCGCCTTTTAAACGCCAAATAACAATATTATTATCGGTGACCAGGCAACGGCGTTTAAAATTTTAATAAAAATCTCGCTATTGCCCGACAACAAAACGGTCTGCGGGTCTCCGAATGGGAAAAACAACAGTTTCTCAGAGCGTGCCTCGAACAGTGTGTAATCCAAAATGTGTATCGGTTTTTCGAAACAACACAACGGAATAGCCCATTGATGAGTCGCACACACACACACACACACAAGTCATAGATAATAAGAAACATAGATTTCAATTTTTTTTTTTAATTTATAATCTAAACAAGATAATATCCAGAGGACTGTAAACAAACGGCCTCGATTTCTTATCAGTCCAGGACCGCAAAACTTGAGTGGCCTCGATAATTGGAAATGTCCAAACTTAACCGGGGAAAAACAAACGAGCCGAAGGGCAATTAATGTTGTTTTCTAAGGATAATCCTAATATATATATTTATAATCTAACCTACCCGGATAACTTAAAAATTAAAGGGCTCGCAAGGGAACGGTTGGTTTAAAACAAAGAAAAAAATGTGCGCAAACGAGTAAATCATTGATTGACAAATATATTTCACTCGAATCGCGGATAGAGACCACTTAACCTAACCTAACCTCACCAAACCTAACCAAACCTAACCTAACCAAACCTAACCAAACTTAACTAAACCTAACCAAACCTAAATTTAAACTAACCACTTGAGTTTTTGATATTTTTTTAATAAGCCTTTGGTAGTGTAAATACAAAATTGGGTTGATTGTCGCGTGCAATGGGAGAAAGGATAACTCGGTTTGGAGGTCTGCGGGGGTCTCCGAATGGGAAAAAGCTAAATGTGAAAAACAACAGTTTCTCAGAGCGTGTCCCGCGGAAGAAGAACATGTGTGTGGCACCCACGTACTCGGAGTGAGGGAGGGACGAGGACAAACGTATTGACGGTATGCAAGGGAAACCAACAACGTGGCCTCTGCCCCATAGACCAGCATCGGAAAATCCACCTCGTTCGGCGATACGTCGCGCCGCCTAATTACGCATATTGACGCCGCCACCCCCCCCCGCCCCCGTCCGGCGCAGTCTGCCGGCACACAATACGTTAGATCAGAAGGGACACTTACACTTAAAAAAAAAAAAAAAAAAAACACCTCCTCGGCTCCGCCATAGGAGAAGCTGTTCGAAAAAAAGTCAATAGTTTTAAGTAGTAGAGTGCAGCAACACACACAGTGCATTTTTCCACCTTTTAGTATTTTTTTTTAATCTTAATATTATTAATTGATTTAAATATAAATCAACTAATTCATTCGATTGGTATGATCGAAAAAAAAATCAATTGAACACAAGAAAAAAGCTTTAAAACGTATAGAAATTAGACTATGTGATATCGATCAGAATATATGTTATTATAATATGTACCTATAATAGACATATGGGTTGTGTGTACAAATTATGTAACGCACGCGACGGTAAATCGAAGAAAGATGGCTGCCCCCCGTTTTCCTTTTCACATAAGTCGATTGTTGCTACTTATTTTAGTAGCCTATACTATCCTATGTGAACTAAACAAATCCTCCAACGGTTTCTTCTGCAATACAATAATTAACGCGTTTGGAAAGTAAGTATTAATCTTTTAATTAACAGCCATTCGGCGGAGTAACGGAAAATCTCGATATTCTTCGGGAAAACGGGTTTTCTTGTAAATTATCTGATTTTTTAGACTCCACGCGCGGTCGGTTCAAATCTGGTTTATCGTCGGTTTTTTTTCCACAAACCTTGTTGTAATGTCATAGTACTATACACAATTCGCACGGGTTGATCGACTCCTCCTGGCAGGCGTTCAAACGCACAGACGCACATAGTAAATAATATTATGAATATTTATGCGACCAATTAAAACACAAACGGACGATGATACCCGTGGCGCTACTTCACGTATGTTCTCACACACTATTTTTTAATACACAATTATCGTAGT